TGTCCAGCTAATTTCTTTCTATTTTTTTTTTTTAGTAGAGATGGGGTCTCGCTCTTGCTCAGGCTGGTCTCGAACTCCTGAGCTCAAACGATCCGCCCATCTCAGCCTCCCAGAGTGCTAGGATTACAGGCGTGAGCCACCGCGCCCGCCTATAGATACTATTAAATATTAACCCATTTCAGAGCTGAAAATACTGAGGTCCAGGAAGATTAAATAAGGTGCCCCTACTCACAGCTATTGTCTATAGAGCCAGGATTTGAACTCAGGCTGGTCGATCCTATAATTTAGCCCTAAATTATAAAACCTCCAACCCAACTGCTTTATGACCAGGTTTCTTGGTTAATAATATGTGAAGAATACCTTTCCATGTTGGAAAATACATCTTTGTTAATAATAGCCATATTGAATTATATCAGTTTTCATAATTCAACCAATCATCTCCAACACTGGAATATTTAGGTTGTTTCTAGCTTTTTAATATCACAAATAAGGCTATAATAACTGTCCTTTTAGTTTAAATTGAGGGCACATCTTAATTTATACACAGGTTAAATTCCTGGCATGGATTTGCCAGGTCAAAGAATATGTACTTCTTTTTTTCATTCTTTATTCTTAATTATGTATCGGCAAATAAGGGCATTTGTTTTCAAAGCTTGTTAGGAAACATAAAAGGAAACAAAGTTGGCTGCTTTTTGTGAAGCACTGTTTCTGCCTTGGGGCATTCATGTGTGTTTACACGCTTAGAATGGAGACAATCTGCTCAGCTAAGGAAGAAGATTCTGTTTTAAATGTTATTAATTAAATTAATGTAGAATAATAGGATTTCCCAATCAATACTAAATACAGTTCAAGCCCAGGTCTTAAGGAGTTCTTGTGTCCAGTTTTTATTACATCATATTTCCCGAAGCGATTCTAAACGGCATTGACTCTATTCACTCACAGATGGATTGTAAAAAAGGTAAATGATAAGTAAACACAGTTCTGTAACTTTCGGAATCTTTCTTTTTTACTGGCTACTTCAAAACTCACAATGATGCAATTATTAGTGTTTACTTCTTTTGTAAGATCAATACTCTCTATTTACTTGTTCAGAAGGTTACTCTAGTACAGTGCCCGCTTGGGAAGAGCACACTATCTACTTTTTTATTTTATAAGTATTGAAATACTCTCCAGCTGAGTACAAAATAAAACTTCAGACTAGACCTAACACCATGCTAACCTTGGAGGCTGATGCTGCACCATCTGATGTCAGCAGGAAGCTCTGGACAAAGAGGATGGCAAGAGAAGCCACCCACTTATAAATGGTCAGGTGGAAAGAACAAGGACCTTCGTGAGAATGCTCTGCCCAGTACTACGTCCTTGCAATACCGGGCAGTAAACTGACATTTCTGGGGAGACTGGATAACTGAAGGCAAAAAAGTAAGAATAATATTCCAAGACCCTTTGTGAACTGGAATTTTAATATCTAAGAAAAACTAATTCCCCATTAATTTTTATCTACTCAAACAAAATATGATTTCAACAAAAATATTTTTATCCTAAAGCTAGTATTAGGACACAGAACATATAAACACAGTCCTGTTGAGTAACTCTGCAGCAGAGCCTATCTTGCCAAACTGACGATGATTATCTTGCAGGGTCAGATAAGAAAATTGAAAGGGAAAACGCAGGTAAACATTGATCAAACACAATGAAGAGCAGCGGGCAATGAAGAATGAACTTTCAGATACAGGAAAATAAGGAGCATGAAGATAAAATGAAGCACCCCAGAAAGTTCAGAGAATCACATAATTATTATCCTTGTTATTATTATAATTATTAAACAAAGAACCAGTCAATTGAGGTTTCAACCCCAGGGTCAGAGACTCTCGGGCCCCCCATCAGAATGAATCAGGACATGTTACACATTATTCATTCTAACTGGCTCACTCGTCATGTCTCATCTTATTTGGCAATCCCCCAGTCCAACCCAGCTCCTGCAGAAAGGGAGAAGAGACAAATAAGGAGTCAGTGCAAACAGTGCAGGGTTTGTCTCTCACATGAAACTCCCCCCAGCAAACTCGTGAGACTAGAGAGACTCTTTTGTTGTTGCCCTCATACAGAGGTAAATAGCATTCAAGTTTGGTTAACCCACAGAATTCAGTAATCAGGACTCTCCAGCAAGAATGAACTTGTTGGAATTTCCTGGGAGATTTAGGAACTCACCTAGGGCATGGCTACAACTCCGACAGGATTCCGTTAGACTGACAATTATTTGCTGCAGATCGGCTCTGGGGGGTGTGGGAGAGGGGTTGGGGTTTTTCCAGCCATTGCATTTACAAGACTCTTCGGCCTAAAAAAGGAATGAAGAGACAAAGTTATGTAACAAGCAGCCATGGACTGATTGTTTTACATAAGAACAATACACACTAGTTATATGATGGCTACCCCTCCCCTACTTTGTAATTTTCTATATATGCAAGAGAAAAACAGGAAAGGCAAAGACAGTATTTGATTTGGGTACTTTGTTTTTTGTTTTGTTTTGTTTTCTGCTGGCTGGAATCTACATGCTGCAGTTCAGACAGGTGACCTACACACTTCGCTGCCACTGCCCCCAGTGGGTGTCCATGAAGTGGTCAGTTCCAAGAGAATCCATCTCAAAAGCTTCTCAAAGCAACAAGCCAGACTCCTGAGGTCCCACGAACACAGCTAAGGTCTAGGATAAAATTGAGCCTTGCAGGCCCCAAGGCTCCATGCTGCACACCTGTCCCGTGGACCAAAAAGGAAAACCACGGAACTGAAGAAGTTAGCAATCTCAGGGAGAAGGGATGGGGCACACCCAGCTGAAGCCACACTTGCAGGCTCCTCCAAGTTTTTCTCAGCATTAGAAATGGAGAGGACTTCATCATGCATCTTGGGTACAAACTTATGTATATTTCCCAGGTTTCCTGTACTGGAACACTATTATTTTAGCAACACTTACTAGAAATCCTCCTTAACTTTGTCCTCATACTCTTCACATTTTCCTACCTTTGTAGAGAAAAATGAGCATGATTTGGCCTTTTTGCAGTGACAGGCCATGAAGTGGCGGGCAAGCATGACAAGATTATCAATGATTCTACCAGCCTACAGAATTACGTGCTTCAGGGGGTCCTAAAGTGTGGAAGGCTGGTGTGCTCACATTGCATGACCCCAGCCACTTATAATTCTTCTGCCCCTCCCCTACTATACATTACCACTACATAACTCTCACCATTTATTTACTGCTTCACATCTGCTGTGGCTGGGAAATCAGGAAATAAATTGTTAAAATAACACGTAACAAAGATGGATTCATTTTAAGGGAGAGCCTTCTATGTATACTATCCAATATGGTAGCCACTAGCCACATGTGACTACTGAGCACTTGAAATGTGGTTAGTCCAAATTAAAATGCACCATAGACATAAAACACATACCAGATTTAAAGACCAGTGCAAAAATACAGTATCTCATTAAT